AAACAATTACTCAACATTACTGATAATGTCAATAATAAAAATCAACAAATATTCACATTTTTCATTTTCATGTTCAAAGTGACGTTCACCCTAGACCAAGTTAGTGGCTTAACCTAAAGAAGGCTTCAACTCGCTTATGGTGTCGTAACTATGTGAGCAGATAGCAAAAACTGAAAAGTAGAAAGAAGTAAAGTCTTGGAGCATTTTCAGAAAATAAAGGAAAAACGAGTCACATACAACATATGAAAGTCTGACTTTCAATGAATGCATAACATTCCATTCCATTCCATTCCATCCATCATCTAAACCGCTTATCCTTCTGGGTCACGGTGGGGTGCTGGAGCCTATCTCAGCTGTCATTGGGCGGAAGGCAGGATACACCCTGGACAGGTCGCCAGTCCATCCCAGGGCAGACAGACAGACATACATATTCACTCACACACACAAACACACTAACACCTAGGGGCAATTGTAGCATGTCCAATCGGCCTGACTGCATGAAATGACCCTGGTCACCCGGCCGGGAATCGAACCCAGGCCATTCTTGCTGTGAGGCGACAGCGCTGCCCACTGCGCCACTGTGCTGCCCACATTACATTCCACCATTGAAAAAGAAAACGTGCTGTTGTCCACTTTAAATAAGCAGACTGGTGAGTGAATGGTACACACTTAAAATGATGGTTCTTCAAGGGTTCTTAATAAAGAAAATGGTTTTAAATAAAACTCAAAGAACACCTCGCATGAATAAAGGGTTCTTTGCATCGTGAAAGGGTTCTTCAGACTGATAAAGAGAATGTGCTGTAGATAGTTCTATATAGAACCTTTTTGAGGGTTCTATATGGCACCAAAAAGTGTTCTTCTATTGTAACAAGCCTGACATCATAACAATAGAGGAATGCTTTTTGATGCTATATAGAACCCTTTTCAAAAAGGTTCTATAAAAAAAGATCTACAGCACATTCTCCATCAATCTGAAGATTTCACGATGCAAAAACCCTTTAATAATAGAAAGGGTTCTTTGAGTGTTCATGGTTCTACACAGAACCATTTTCCTTACTAAAGAATCTTTGAAGAACCATCATTTTAAGTGTGTAGCTTTTCTTCCATGCCAGTGTTCTGATAAACCAAACTACTTCTGTAATGTTACCTTTACAAAAATAGCTGAAGCTCATGATGTTACATTATTAATTTTCATCACTGGGATATTCTAAGCCGTATCAGTTTTGTTAATTAGAAATATTTAGCAGGTTACTCCAAAAAAACTATTGAATACTTGGCTAGCTAACTACATTACTGGCTAATTAGCTTAAAATATGGCTCAAGTTTTCACTTGAAAGAAATGTGATCCAATTATCCTGGAAACCTATTCACACATAGCTTGTCTAGTGAACTAGCACATTTAAATGTTAAACCGGTTTAATCAGGGGTAGTGAACTCCGGTCCTGGAGGGCCAGATTCCTGCACTGTTTGGTGGTGTTTCCTGTTTAAGCACACCTGATTAATCTCACCAATTAATAACCAGATTTTGAAACTGTGCTGGCCCTCAGTTCCCCACCACTGGGTTAAATGGTGCTGTAGCCTGAAGAGCTATAATAATATTTCATGTAGTTATTATAATTATAGCATTTATTTTTAGCTATTGTTTATTACTTACTGTAGCTCAAAATAATGGGCAGGTTTAAACAAATCTAAACAAAAAAGTGTTGTTTTTTTTTTTTAAACTTGGTGGTAATTTAGCTTTTGGTTAACCGTGCCAGTTTGTCAGAACACTGCCAAACATATTATTGCCACAGCTCTTCACATTTACAGGCCACATTTAAGCCGATTAATCAGTTATAAGTTGATTAATTCACATGAATAAACAATTATAAAAATATTAGGTTCTTGCAGCACCACTTAGCATTGTGTTTTTGGAGTGAAAATAAGATTAGAAGAGCAGCGCACATTTTAGTGTTTTGCCTCGTCCCATCACACCTGATCCAACTAATCAGTTAGTTAGCAAGCCCCTCCTGAGCTGAAGTGTGTGTCTTAGAGCAAAAACATGTAGGGCAGGGGGTACTCCAGGACCAGGGTTGGGATCCTGTGGTTTAGAATAAACAAAAATAAACCTGGATGTTGTAGGTTGTGGACAATGCCTGTTTTATGTTACCTATACGACAATGGTGCAAGTGGGCCTAGATCGGCTTTGATCTTGATCCTTTGGATCAGATCAGGGCATGCGTATGGAGAATCAGTCCTGAAGTAGCAGCAGATTGGAGTTTTCCCTTTAATCCTGAGCTAATATAGCAGCTACTTTACTTCTGAAATTAAGGGTATTAACAGAGAGTTTGCCCCCTTTGAGTAACAGCCTGTACTCTTTTAGGAAGGCTTTACGCTAGATGTTGAAACATTGATGTGAAGATTTGATTGCATTCAGCTACAAGAGCATTAGTAAGGCCAGGTACTGATGCTGGATGATTAGTTCTGGATGATAAACTCACCCCAGAGAATGCAGTGCCAGTGCTCCACATCTCAGCGCTGGGGGGCTTTATACCCCTCTAGGCATTGTGGGGCATCTATGGAGCTTATACAAGCTGTGTTTGTACAGTTGAAGGCCTGAGTTGACAATGGGGGCCTACCTTAAAGTAGCTGAATTCACTCATTAGGAGCCATATTTTGGACGTATAGTGTAATTTACGCTCACTTTTGATGAAACTGTTGTAGTGTATCCAACAATAAAGGCAACATCATGCTTCTTTTAGACAGTGATATAAAACATAGTAGCACACAGCCAGCTCCAATTCCTCATGCTGATTGATTTTTCAATGCCGATAATGACATACAGAGGATATCGTTAAAGCCTCAGAATGCATCGCTGATGATACGTTAGGTAAGAAAGGGTTAGCCATGTTAAACTCCATTCATCTCAAGCAGTGCTGATGAAAACACTACTGTGCGTTGTCTGATCCTTTCCCACCGAAGGAGCCATCAAAGGAGGGCTTGCTGCTACAGATATAGCGCTCCAAAGCAACCTTGCCAAGCTCATTAACCACACTGAAGTAATTTACGAAGAGAGTTGAAGACAAAGAGGAGCCTCACTCTTTACTTGACTATAGGGCTCTTGTGGCTGTTGCCAGGAAGAGCAAGAACGAGAGAGAGAGAAAGAGAGAGAGTGTGTTCAGTGTCCTTGATAGCAAGCAGCTGCATCCCCAATGACAACAGCCCAGATCATGAATCATAGGCTGGCCCCTCCTCTTGCACTACTTGTAAAGTCCCGCTGCCTAAGTCGTAGCATCCACAGCAGCATCCGGCAACAACAGCAGTTCATGTTCATTAAAGTAGCCGTTAAAACTTAATGCCCCTCTGAAAAGCCTCATATCATCATCAGCTTTACCTCTTGAATTCTACACTATAAAAAAATTTAGTAATGTACAGGTGGATTACACTGTATCACATTCCTTACTGTATGCCTACACTGTAATAATACAGGATCATCAGCTTTTCTTTAAAAACAGGCACGAAAAAATTCTTATGTGAAGCAGCAAAGGACCTTATTTAAATTTCCATTATTTAAATGTTAAAATATGGCTGAGCTGTATTAAAATTTGCAAAGCATGTAAATGCAACAAGATTTTCCTTTCCTTTAACTTTAGCATAGCACCTAATAGTCCACTTACTTAGTACAACTTGTATAACCATTATAAGTATCTGATTAGCACTGCTACAATAATACTAATTTCCCCAGTACTTTCTTGTATTTTCAATAGAATTTCTCCCCTTGTTTCAATGAGCTATAAATGAGAAATAATTCTTAGAAAATTGCAATATGCTTTTTTTCTTAAGGTTTCATCTTAAGGCTATTATTCAGTTATTATAATTATTATCACTAATTATTTGGTAACTGAAGTGTCAAGTGTTAAAGCTCCTGTTCCATCCCATTCCAAAATTGTTACTCATTATAAATGAATTGTGTTGACTGACAGGTTGTTTCTTTTTGTTTGCGTTTGTTCTTTCACAGATTATTTTTCTTTGTTTATGTACTGTACCATTAAAAACTATATTAGAGCACTGCTCAGAAAATCTAGTAGGGTGTACTGGGTAATTTATCTGATAAATTGTATTGATTACTTAAAAATTAATATACTAACTGAACAAAGCGCCATTCATCATGTTTACACATTGCATCAGTAAGGATGAGCACTCTCTTACTCATCTTTCAGTATAAACTCAGCAATGGAGATTTGAGATGAGAAGTGCTCATGAAGGCCAGTAAACGATTACTTTCTGCATCCCTGGCCATGTCATTGAGAATTAGTGACTGCTTTGCTCCCACACTAGCGTTTATGGCATTTTATTCAGTGGCCCTGGAGGGTCAGTCCCAGAGGAACTGACTTCATGTCACAGCCACGCTGAGCCACAGGGATGCTGACATCTGCCCTGATTCACATTAGCAACAGCTAGCGGCTAGCATGGAGCAAAACGTCTCTATTATCCTCCCTTCCATACTCTAAAAAGATTCGGAAGCTGGCTGCGAGTTGCTAGCTATTGCTAGTTTTTCCATAGAGTTTGTACTCTTTGTATGGTGGAAGCCATGGTGCACTACTGTCTGATAACTAATGTGCTAGGCTAGTGCAGTGGCCTTTGCAGCAGTGAAGAATGCTCTAATCAGGCACCAGAAACCCTATTCCAAGTCTCTGTGGGATGCACTTTGTTACCTAGCAGGCTAATTTGTTCAAGTTGGCACTTGTATTTTAAGCTTTGTGTATGCATTTCCTTTCCTGTGTGAATAACCTTTTGTGTTATTGATCTCTTGTGCAAATATTTGTACAGAGCTAAAAAATGCAGGGTGGCTGACTGTAGTAAACATCAAGAATGCACTGATCAATAGCAAATATAACAGCTACTTGCTAGGATGTCATCTTTACACAAGTAATGCCTTAGTTGGAGTAGTGTAACAATGTTTAAATAATAATCAATGGAAATAGAGAGTCTGTACTGAAGTATGAGCTAAAGTAGCTTACTAGTGCACACAGCAGATCCACGGCCTCCAGTATGAGCTCTTGGTGGCCGATGCGGGTGACGCCAAGCTCCTCCAGCTCCTGGTGGGTGATGTGAAGGAGCTGCTCGCCTGTTATCTTCTCCCTCTCAAAGTTCTTAATGTACTGCTGCAGGCAGTCGTCCAAGCCTGGTGGACACAATGAATGCAGTACACAATGTCACATGCAGGACAGTCCATAGCATCACACAGGTATTTCTGATACTTTAGTTAATACGATTATTGTTGAAGGTGTTTAAATGCATGCATAAATGTAAAGAAACATCCCATACATCAGCATTACTTTGTATGCAGAAACAATTGGATAATATACACATTTCACAAGTCATTTTTTTAGGCACACCTACTTTGTACCTACATTCATTAACAATTTTGTCGTAGGTCAGGTGTATCCACTCTTATCCACGAAGTGCAGGTGTGGCTGCAGGTTTTCATTCCAACCAAGCAGAAGTACACATGATCAGGTGTTTGAAAATGAGCAATTGATTAAACAAGCAGAGTCAGGTGTGCTCCTGCCTGTTTGTAATGAAAACCTGCGACCCTTTGCTGATAAGATTGGACACCACTGGTATAGGTGCACTTTGTTGGTTTACAATTACTGCCTGTAGCCCATTTGCTGCACATATGTCCATCAATGGAAAGTGACCACTGTAAGACCACCACTGACCAGATATGTTTTGGCAGTAGAATATTCCCAGTGCAGCAGCGACACAAGATGTGGCAAGTTAATCGTAATAATAATAATAATAATAATAATAATAATAATAATAATAATGACAGCGTTATACTTTAAAATGGCCAGTGAATGTACGCACACAGTAGGTGCCTAATAAACTGGCAACTCAGTGTATACACTGTCATATGCAAAAGCCAGAGGTCAAATTATGCTTTGTTGATTTTCTAAATGAAAATTGGTACACATCCGCTACAGAGAAAGTTTAGCCCACAGTTACTGTTAATCATTGTTCACATAAAATGTGGCCTACACAAATGTTATGGGACTATTTTGTGTTATATATTTTTTAACAAATATGTAAACTCAGCAAATAAATAAACTTTATGCACTAAACTTTGCAGAAATATGCTATATTTATGTTTGTTCCCTGTAGACGATGTGTTAACTTATTCTTCACTTATTAAAGCAACAAGACACGTAATCACATAAGCACACTCTCATGTATATTTAGGTCTTGTTGCTACCAATCTGTACCAATCAACAGATACCGAAAACCATAAAACTGGAGCCCTGGGTACTGAACTGATGGCCAGTGGTAAAAGCACAGTTCTAGTTTTCACTTGCCAAAAAGGTTCTTTGTCCTATAGATAGAATTGGAATGATAGCACAGTTGACGCCACTGCCATGTTGTTGAGATAACACCAGTAAATGCAGCAATGAATTTGAAAGCCATATCCAGCACTGACTATTCATCCACATTATTCTGACAAATTCTCAACATCTTTTTTGGGGTTTTGCGAATACTATCCATAGGTATTGATGATATACTCTTGAGGCTTCCACCCCAGTTACAATTGATTTATACCCTGAAAGGTATAGTTTGGTACCTTTTGTCCTAGAATGTATTGTTGTTGCCATAATAATAATAATAATAATAATAATAATAATAATAATTATTATTATTATTATTATTATTATTACTATTACTTAAATGCAGCTTATTCTCTAAGTGTGGTACTTTTCTCTTTAAAACATAATGATAAAGCTGCAAACAGAGGCTGGTTCATGTAAAAGGCGATTTAATTCATTATTATTACTCGCCTGCAAATCCCACGGCAGCTGTTCCTCCCACAGCGCTCATAAGATTAGTAGCACCCAGAGGTGTGACATGAAAGGTTTGTCAGTAAACGTGTTCCTTTTTTATAGTTATGCTGTATACCTAGACGGAGGAGACCATAGCTGGAAATAGCACTGGTGCGACAAGAAAGGCTGTCTGGCTCTTTGACTGGACCTGGATTTCTCAGTGCCTTGGCCAAGCTTAGATCCTCATACCGGCCTATAGAGCTTTAATTGGGCTTTATTGGACCAGCTGAAATTCCAGCATGAAGCAGTGTGACTAATAAGAACAATCTATCTGTGCCACTATGAAGAGAAGTCATCCAGGACTCAGATGTTTTGCTGAGAGAAAAGTAAAGAAGAATAGTGAAGCTTTTCTAGGCCAGTTAGAACTGAGCACAGAGCAATGATCATGACGCAGATCAAGATAAAGCCCGCAAAACTATAAAATTTGAGCTTGAGCTGACTCTAACAGGGTTTGTGAAAATGTTTTTTACCAGCAATGTTCTATTTGATCTTTCATTAAGATATCATCCTGAGGGCCCAGCAAAAATCATACAGCTGGCCACACCTGTTTAACACATCATGGCCTCAAGCATGTACATATCTAAGTCTTATAAAAAAGTACACCGCATGCTGCCACGCGCATCCACAGCCCCTAGCAAATCTCGGAATTGGCTTTTCAGCAGATCGGCAGAGACTTGATGACACTACTGGAAGAGAAAGTCCCCTTGCCTGTGGGTCTACTAAGAATAACTTCCTTCAGTGACCCCCCTCTCCCCATTTGCCATGCTTTGGGACACGGTTGCTGGATTTAGGCATCGGCAGCTACATGCTTGAGTCCCCCCATCTTCTTCCACACATAAACAACAGCTGAGACCATCAAGCCACGTCCCTAAGGCAAATGGTAATAAGTAGACCCTAACAACACCCTGTTTTAAAATCTACTCAACTAAACAAGCTTGTTATTCAGGGGCTGTTTCTGTTCAGTAATTGAGATGATAAGTACCATTACATTATACCTTCTTCTTTGGTAGCTTTGTCCCTGGAGATCTTTGGTAATTTGGTTATTGAGTATTAATTTTGTTTTACAAAACTATTTAAGTATGTAATTGCATATTAATTTACATAGAAAACTACACAAATAATGAAATTTATATTCAGTTTGCACTCTATATCAGTTCAAGGTTGCACTTTTGATGTTTTGATGTCAAGAAATGACAGTAAACAGGCAAAATGTAAAGTACTGTGCAAAAGTCAGTTTTTCAGTGTCAGAAAACACTAGAAAGCATATATTTACCATGACATATAAACCTCAACAAATAAACATATCTAATAATTAAGTGTTTAGTGTGCCCATCCTTCACCTTTGCTACATCTTTCATTCTTTTCAGGACACTTTCAGTTTTTAAAGAAGTCTCATCTTATCAATCTTGGAAGTTAGTTGCGCTTTCTGCTTCTCACAGTCCAGGTAATTTCAGACACATTCAGTGATGTTGAGGTCTGGACTCTGGGGTGGACGGTCCATTTTTCTGAGGTCACCAGCAGGTTCCAAATTTCTTCTCTTTTACCTTTTCTTTATTCAGCAACTGCTTCTTGACAGCTGCGCATCTTAGCAGACCCATTGAGTCATCTTCTCACAGGGAAAGCTGTGGAGAAACACCTGTGGATTTTGTTAGATCTGAACCAAGAATGGAGCTTGATTTTTGCTCAAAGATAAAAACTTTAAGTACGTGTCTGATGGTGACAGTTTTGGTGGTCTACCAGGTCTTGAATGGTGGATAGGAGTCCTTTTTTTCTCTATATCTTTTAATACTTTTTCAAACTCCAGTTTTAGCAACTCCTGTTTTCATGTTCCCCTTCCTTATGCAAGTGGATTATGTTATATCTAATCTCCTCAGAAATATCTCCTGAAGAATGAATAGCTTGTACTTCGTGGCTGTGACTGGAAATTAAATAAATGAAGGATGGTCTCTGATGTTTGCACAGTACTGTACACTGTTGGAAATAAAGGTCCTGTGCAGGTACATTTTTCGTTCATCAAGGTACAAGCAATGTAAATGTTCCTTCAAAGGTACAACATTGGTTTTAAGGTACCTTAAATAGGTTTTTCTAGGTGAAAAATATGTATTTGTCTTTTTCATAACCTAATGTTTTAAAACAGAACAATAAAATAGGAGAGAGAAGATGGGCTGTGTGGAGTCAATACAACTCTGAAAATATAATTTCAGTGGATTACGGTACAGTTATCTTCCCTGACTAAAGGTACTGAGATGTACCCTTGAGGGTACCACCCCTGTGACAAGAGGGGTACTGCCCCAGTAATAGTTTCATACCTTTTTTTACAGAAAGTGTAAAGGATGGATTTTCTTTCTACATACAATACTGCACCAACAGTGACTTTTCAACAAATAGTAAAACTTGTCATCTTATGAACACAAATGTGAAATCGATTGGTTTAGCATTTGCATGTCCAATTGAATTTCTTCGCTTGAGTTACACATGAGAAAAAATGATCAAATTACAACATGGCTTTGTTGCTGCCAGTGATAACTGAGATAAAAAAAATACAAAATATGTGTTTGACACAACCATTTACCTACTTCACCACACATACTTTTTACTCTAATGTCTTTTTTGCTATTCAGTCCTCGGCAGTGGCAACAAAGTGTACATTTCTACCGCTTCTCTATTGTGTGCATGTGCTCTGCTTTGGGTAGAAGCTTTGACATGCAAGGCCCTGAAGTTTCAGCACTGCTGCGGGCAAAGCATTGACTTCCACATACCTTTTCAAGCTCAGTACAGCAAACCCCTGTCCCCTCAGGGGAGACCCACATGACAGTCTGGCAGAACCCATCTAGCAGACCATCCACCTTCATGTGTCCTCTCCCTGTATTAACTCATACCTTCATAGTTACCACAATCTTCACAGTGGCAGCTGTTCAGAACCGTAGCCCAGCCCATTTTGGAGACTTTCACACAAACAAAGAGTCTCCTGCATCCTCTCACAGCCACCTGAGATTGGCGAGGGCTGTAGGAGCCCTTTTAACGCAGGTCTTTTATGCCTCTGTACCCTACACAGGAGATGGACACTATTTGAATGGAGGAGCTGTGTTCATTACTTCAATTGGGCACAGCAGCTGCAGCCCCTATAAAGGGCACTGAACAGAGTGCTCCTGAGCTCAGGCCTCTGCCAGAAACATGAAAGCGTCAAGCATCATCATGCTGGCCATGTCAGCACTGCTCATGTAATGGTAGCAACCATTTGGATTTGGATGCACTCCAGAAGAGCAAGCACTTATTGTCAGGGACAGGATATAGGCCTTGGAGCAGAAGT